CAAGTCGAGTGCACTTGTTGCTGTGTGGGCAAACCTGCGTGTAGTTGCAATTGCACATGTGAATGCCACGCCGCTGACAGCGACTCCTCCTATGATAATGATGAAGAAGGGGCCAAGACAGACAGTGCCGACATCCCGCCCTCTTCTGTATGTACAACATTGGCTTCCTATCTGTGTTTCTCATGGGTGAGACAAATAGGAGGACCCACGCCCGGATGCCGACGCCGTCCTCCGCGACCGCTGGGTCACCACACACCAATCAACTACACACCAATCACGCCCGGACCTGTCGACGTTTCAACTGCTGGAAGCCGTCCACGGTGCCACGCCCACCAACTCGTGGGCTGGCGGCGACCACACGTCGTTTGTGAGTGCACTAGCGGCACTGGACAGCACCCAGCCGCTGCCCCTTCCCCCCTCCGCCCCATCCGCCGCCTCTCTTCCCCCCGACCACGTCCATGCCCTGTTGTACCAGTGTCGGCTCGTACAAAATGCGTTTCAAAGCCCCCTCGACGAACCATCTCCGGCGTTGGTATCGCTAGTACACCACGCTCTATCAGCAGAAGACCAAACCAGGGAAGATCGAGACGCTGGAGACGCTCAACGGCTGCCCCGCCACGGCGCCGTACTTTTCGCTCTACTTTACATCGCCATTGACCAATCTGGCTGCTATCGACACAGCGCCGTCCACGTTGGACATGGCGGCGCTTCTGTCGTCGGTGGAACGCGTGCCATGCCTTGTGGACGTCCAAGCCGCCGTGCTGTGGCAGGACCTACACCACGGCCCGTTCCCTCAGTTCTTCATGTCCAACTTCCCCCATATCCCGCTGCTGCAACTGCCCACAAAGCGATTCGTCAAGTTGGATGCCTCCATGGCCACGCTGTCCCAGCTTCAGGACACCACGTCCGCTCCGCAAGCCCACAAAGTTGCCACAAGTTATGTGTCGTTATACGTGCTATCACATGGAAGGGTCCCGTGGAGTGACCTTCCCCACGCGTTCGAGTGTGTTCTGTCCACGGTCGATCTACACGTACGCCCTTGGTTTGTGCTGCAAGTGCTGCAGTAAGTAAGTATGTCCCGGCTGTGTTTTGGAAGGTGCTGGCTCCGCCGGTTCTCTTGGCGCTGGGGAAAACAGTGTCGCATGTCCATCGCGCACTGGCCAACGCAACCACGACCAGTGTCTCAGATCGGGTGCTGTTGGGGCAGCTGGGCCAAGTACTCGAGATTTCCCCAGATCTCTTTGCCACTCTGGACAACACTCACAAGGACGACAAAGTAGAAGAAGCGATAGCCAAGCCACCATGTCCATCAGTTCCACTAAGCTTACCCGCCCCTTGCTTCCCGGTACACCCGCCAGGCAAGGACGTACCCCCGTTGAAGAGCCATCAACTGTCGGCCAACCAGCCAGCCAATCACATCTCTACCCCACACGACAAGATGGACAAGTGCCAAGATGTAGTCGAGCACATTCGAAAGCATTCGTTTGGGGTTGGCCTGCCTGGCTCGAGTGACACCCGCGCCTTCTTACGCGTACAGCAAGATCGACTAGAACGAGCGTTGCAGCGCCTGAGTGCCGAATTGTACTCGACGTCGACGCACTTTGTACTCGAGTTGCTCCAGAACGCCGACGACAACGCGTACGCCCCACACGTGGCGCCGTGTGCCGAGTTTGTCGTGCGCGACGACGCGATCTCGTTCTTCTGCAATGAAATCGGCTTCCAAGCGTCGCACGTTCGCGCACTGTGTGACGTCGGCGCGTCGACGAAATCGGTGGGTATGATTGGTCAAAAGGGCATCGGGTTCAAGTCTGTGTTTGCCGTGTCCGACTGCCCTGAAATACATAGCAACGGGTACCATGTGCACTTTGACGCCCGCGCCCGAGCCGGTACGTCGCGTTCGTAAGCAACTTGCTTGGATATATATATATATATTGTGCTTTCGAGTGAAATTTCATTGTGTTGTGGTTTCTCGTTGGAATTTAAATCGATTTGATTGGCTACCTCAGATGAGCTCAAAATTATTAGCCAATCAAAACCTTCTCAATGAAATTCAACCAATCAGATCGATTGTGGATCGGTTTGGTCGGCGCGATTCGATT